GAGCGTAATGTCTTCGACTAAATACGATTTGCGATCTTTTGACGTATCATTGAAAGAAATCGGTTCGGTGAGAGCTGAGAAAAAGTGGTAACAGACACAAAAAAAATATAAAAATCACATCATAGTAAAACCAATACCTTCTTAGTATTGCATCGAAGCTAATATACTCTAATGTTGTTATTAAAAATAAATAAGACTATAATTGTAATTTGTTGAAATTATCTATTTTTTATTATATATTTAGTGTATTTGCAATTATATTTTAGTATTAATAGAATTAAAATTATTGATTTCAGCATTTTAATTTAATTTTAAGAGTATCGAATTAATAATAATGTCAACTGAACAATTACGCAAATATATTATTAAAAAATGATTCTTTTTAATGTCTAATTCCAATTAATAAAATATGACATTAGAAACATTATATGAATAATACTCAATATTTTTTAATAACTATTGCCCGCGTTTCTTTATCACATTGAACGAAATGTGGCATCACATTAACATAAACAAGTAGTAAAATGAAACAATTTTTAATTTTCATTATAACGGTGTTCTTAAAAGTAATGCTATCACTTAAAACAATATTTAAAGTGATCTCATTTATCTCATTTGCTCGTTACTTTCTAAACTTTCTTATTCATAATGAAAGCTTATTCAGCTGAACAACTAAGTGAATATGTTAATAAAAATTGATTCTTTCAAATTAATAAGTTATAACATTAGAAATATTATTTGAATAATACTCAATATTCTTTTAACAACTATTGCCCACGATTTTTTTCAAATTGAACTAAATGTGATATCACATTAACATAAATAAGTGGTAAAATAAAACACTTTTTAATTTTCATATTAACGGTGTTCTTAGAAGTAATGTTATCACTTAGCATAATACTTATAGTTGTCCCATAATAATTATTTTCTAAAATTTCTTATTCATAATGAAAGATTTTTGTTACAATTCGAAAAAATAAAGAAAATTTAACAATAGAATATTTTATGAACTATGGCAAAGCACTTCAAACACACATTAAAGAAATTATGTTATTTTTGGTTGTCCTAACAAACAATGATAAAGTTATTTATCCATTTTGTTTGATTACGGTAAATATGTACTCAAATTACTTTTTAGCTCCGATGTAAAGCTGAAAAGATATTAATTTTACTGTGATATGTTAATTTTTTTTTTGTTTTTGTTACTACTTTTTCTCAGCTCTCACTGGATCAATATTTCTCAACGATACCTCAAAAGATCACAAATCTTTCAAGCATGGTGTACAAAGTTCGAACCCCAAGTGGGAATGACTTTTGTTGCTATATAGAAAATGTCTAAAAAAAATTATTTTTAGTTTCACCTGAATTTAGCAATGGGTAATCAAATTTTATAATTTTCTCAATTAAGTAGATCTATTTATATACATAATTAAATTGATGCCAGAATTGTAATCAGCGTTAAATATCCATATGGAGTTCTTAACAATAAGGTAGCACATTGTATAAATATTGATCCAGTAAGGATCAATATTTCTTAACTATACGTCAAAAGATCACAAATCGTATCTTGTCGAAGATATTACTCTCAAAAATTAAAATTTTGCCCTCGCTCCCGTAAATAGTGAAAATCCGCCAAACAATTATGATTTTTAGAATTGATATATTTCGACATTTGTTTAATTTTTTTTTCTAAAATTTGCCATAACTTTTTGAAAAATGAACAAATAAAAATAACTCTTTTTATACTAAAATCTTAGATATTTTCCTTTCATTTAATTCAAATTTGTTGAAAATCTGACTCTTAACCTGTACACAGGAGGAAAATCAAAATAGCAACATCTGCACAAAAATTAAAATTTTTCAACTTAAGTTTTGAATATGTTTCGGAAATATTTTGCTCATTAAGTAAATGTTAAAATAAAGCTTATTTTATGAACTATAAGTTCAAAATAAAAATTTTTCTCCTGACGACTTATCTTCTATGTACAAATGTTTGTCATAGTTAAAAAACATACAAATTGGTGTTAAAATTGGTGGTATTGTATTTTAATTTATTTTTAAATACCTTATAAGGGGTACACTGATTTTCATGAATATTATATAAAACTAATTGACATAGAATATAATGTTAAACTTATTTTAATTTTATTTTTCTTTTAAGTCGAAAAAATTACTTTGAAATTTGAATTGGCTTGAAATGTCATTTTTATCTATCCAACAAATGCGACATACGTTGCCGAGTTGGTAACACTCGTGTCATTCAAGCTTGGTGTACAAAGTTCGAACCCCAAGTGGGAATGACTTTTGTTGCTAAATAAAAAATGTCTAAAAAAAATTATTTTTAGTTTCCCCTGAATTTAGCAATGGGTAATCAAATTTTATAATTTGCTCAATTGAGTAGATTTTTTTAACAGCTTTTTGATTGGAATTTTTAGTTAAAGTAAAACATTAAAATTAATTAAGTTCTGAAAATTTTAATTTTAATATCTTTATACCACCAAAAATTACTTAGAAATTATTACTATGATTTTATTTAAGTGATTTATTGCGATATAAATTCAAAAAATATTGAGCATTACTGATAAATTTGCGATAAATAGTAATTATAAAATTTCCTGACTGCATATTATGTTATACTCATAACATTTTCTATTTAATGGTGTTAATTTCAAACTTGCGAGTTGAGCTAAAAGTCATAGTAATAACTTTTACCTTTTTTTTATGTTAATACTCGTATTTAACTAATTATTAATAATATCAAAAATTAGTGGTGATGTAAAAAATCTAATTACAGATTTGATATGAGTGCGAATTTTCGATTGTTACAAAAATTCCTTGTAGATCATTTATTCATAATTAATAACAAATGAAAAGTTTTGTATCAAGCCCTTTAAATTTTTAAACACGTAAAAGTAAAGCAAAATATAATTTCTTTATTATTTTTATAATTTCTCATTTTAAATTACTATATTAAATTATTGAATATCAATTTCATACTAAATTTAATAATTATAATTAGTATTTATTCATATATTATATTTTAAAATCAAAGAAATACTAATCAGGATATAATCAAAGAAATTAGAGTTGATGTTGCTTTTGGAATAATCCACCAATTTCTCTAAATGAAACACTATCTACAGATTTGCATCGAAGCGTTTCTTATGATAGTGATTTTAATCACTGTCAAATATCATCTATACTTGTCCCATCTATGCCTCGNCATCTATACTTGTCCCATCTATTCCTCGTCCACACTGTGCCTCGACCCCACTGTGCTACCGTTTTTTTTTTAATCCAATATACACATAAAGGCTAATTAATTGAAATAAACACAAGACACTATAAACGATTATTAACACTGAAGCGAGAAATCACCATAAGGTTAACTCAGTCAACTACGGAAGGAAATAAAGTTAAGTGAGAATATATTTATTTGCATGCTTTACTTTTTAAAAACTCGTGCAATAAACAAGAATAAGAATAAGTGAGGTAGGGATATTTTATTATTTGATAACTCAAAGTAGATCGACTCCGAGATATACAAGTAACAGATTGCACAAATGATTATTATAAAAATATAGGTTTTTGATAATGTGGTAAGTAATAATTATCTAATCAGTGATAATGAATATACTAGTATTAATCTAGTAAATATAAATAAGTATCTCAAGGATAAACTGAACAGTTTTAGTTTTACAGATTCTAACTAAAAAAACAAATATTTAAAAAATAACTATTAGTCTCGTTAGACTTATTATACAGAATTAAATTAGAGAATCCAACAATATAGAGACTTCTCATCTTCAGTAATTCAGATGGTGTAAAATGTTTCTTAAAACAGACACTAATTAACATGGGACGAAAAATAAAAAATTATATAAAAAAATACATTTCTCGCGACCCGAATTTTCAAAACGACTAAACTAACTAAATAACTAAATTGGATTTATCTAACATTGTTATTAAATATAATAATGCTATAATTAAATTACTTTTAAATATCTTCATAAAAAACAAATTATTTTTCACACGTGATATAGTTCTAACTAATAAAAATATTACTAAAAGTAATAAAAATGAGATATAAGATTATTAAAACAAGTCATCCAGAAAGTTCGATTTTTATGAACAATCCGAATATATGAAATGACTCTTTTAATTTTATAACTTACATATTTAGTATATTTAGCGTATTTTGATGTTTCAATGTTATAAGTGATAAGTAAATAATTAATTTTTAAATTTTTTAGTAATAAAAAAATTTAGTTTATTGAATAATTTATATTATTCATAAAGAATATAATCTGCAATTTAAAAAAAAAAAAAATAGCTGAGCAACTGATTCGTCTTTGGGTTTAAAACACTAAGTTCAAAAAAATAATTAAACAATAAGATAAATTAATTATATTTTAACCTAAAAATATCATTCCCATCATTTAAAATAATAATAATGTTAATTTTAAAATTAAAACCTACTCAGATTCTTGTAAAAGCTAAAAATGTACTAAAAATAATACCGAACTTCAACAAAACTAATCAAGTTTAATTACTAACATTTATCAAATTATGTTTCTTTGAAATTTAGTTTTAACATCCTGATAAGTATTTCATCATTGAAATCAAAATCATGAGACATTGTTTCATAGATTTGTCAAGATTTTGTTTTAACATTTTTATTTAACATAAAATATTTTAAAGACGTATACGACCTAAAAATATAGCGTTATTAATATTATACATAATTTTAAGTGTAATTATTCATAGAAAAACTTGTATGTAAGAGATCTAGAAATACCGTTTTCAGTATCATAAATTTACTTTTATCATGTAGATACAATAATTACGTCAACAATGAAGTAAATATGTTAAATGATAAACACGTACATCTAAATATGAATTAATTCTTTCCTACCAATGTATAATTTAACAAATATAGTACAAAAAAATTCATAAAAATAACGCACAAAATACTTTTTACAACTAGTGTATCTATTTTTTTCAAATTAAAATCATCAAGGAATCAACCCAACATAAATAATTTACATAATGAAATATTTTTTACTTTTCATGTTAATGATAACCTTTAAAGTAAGTTTATGTCGTTATGCACAATATTTAAAATGCTCGCATTCTCGTTATTTTCTAAATTTTTTTAATCATAATGAAAGATTTTTGTTACAATTCGAAAAGAATAAAGAATATTTAACAATAGAAAATCTTATGAACTATGGCAAAGCACTTCAAACACATGGTAAAGTAATTATGATACTTTTAGATCACTTGATGTACAATACTTCCAAAAAGATTTGTTTTACTTTAATCACGATAAATATGTACTTAAATAACATAACTGGTTCTTTAAATATGATTGCTAAAATTGATGATGATGAAAAAAATGATGCTCAAAAATTATTAGAAGGCTATAAGATTTTTCACTTTGCAATTAAAGAACATCTAATAAAATACATAAATGGGTATTGTTTTAAAGTACCGTTTCATGAAAATAAGGTTATTTGCAATCCACCAATCAATGAGAATGAATATAATACTACTGATCTAATAAAAATAAATAATGAACTTAGGAAAAACATATTGACGCAGTTTAAGTTAATGTTAATAAAGAATACATACGAACGTTTTCATCCAATAAATATTTTGTTTTACGATATAATGACCTCTCAGGTTCTCACCAGCAAAAATAATAGTATAAAAATAGATAATAGTCAACACATAGAATTAAATCTACTGCGATTCACACGACTTAACTTTAATTGCTATAATGGTACTTATTTAACTATACAAGACGTATTTGAGTATATGAAATATGATTTTTATACCAAGAATGTTATAGCATACATAAAGACAGTAATTGGGGCTACGTTTCGACCAATAGCCATTCTTCTTCGCAACTATGTAACCTTAATTCAAGTTGCATCTTCAGAATATTCAGATATTGTAAAATTTTGGGTAAAGAAAAGACTAATTAAAATGGGTCAAAAAATAATGAATTATGGAATAGATGTTATTTCTCTCTCTATATACGATTATAATCGCTCATATTTGCAAAACATAATCTTAGATTCATTTAAAAATGCTTTAAATAAATATATTGATAAAAATAAGTTATCCGAAATTGATGTTGAACATAATAATATATTAATTAAAGTACTATCGAATTTCTTCATTAACAGTAAACTGTACTTTACAAGTGATATAGTTCTAACTAACAAAAAAATGACTGCAAATAATGCTGATGCCATAATAACTGAATTAGAAAAAATTATGAAAAAAGTTAAAATATATATAAAGGATTTGAAAAAATGGAATGAATATTTAAATTTAAGTGTAAAAAATTTTAATATTCGATCTTATAATGTTACAAATTTTAAAAATTTTATTGATTTTAAAGTTTTAGGTAAGTGAAAATGTATTTTTATTTTAATACATTCTATTATTTAAATACATTATTTCTGCAATGTATTTGTTAAATACTTTAAGATATTTTCTATTGTAATCGGGCTTAATATAAATAGTTAAATAAAATAATCCAAAAATATGACAACTAAAAAAAAAATTGAACAATCAGGATGTAACATAATTAGAATAAGTGATTATAATCACTGTTATAAAAAAACTTCAGTGCAATCGAGTAGATAATGATAATTTAAGTGTAAAAAAACTAATTATTAATAACAATTAATTGATATATGGAGTACAGTATATGTTCAACCTATTGCTCATGATACATATTTTATATTTTTATTTCATTCAGTGGTTTAAATAAAGGACATAAATATTTTGTTAAATATTTATTATTTCTCCATTTCTATATATTTTAGTAAAAGAATTTGTGTTGAGTAGACTATTTGATAGAATATTAATTTTATTTCTTTCAGATCCTATTTGTAATACTGGATACTATAATTTTTTTTTTCGTTATCATTGATCTTCAAATATAATTATTAAGAAAAATTGAAGCAGATGAAAATTTTAATTTAGAAACCACTAACATCTTTGTAATTTTTGCACATCTAAAATCGTCCTTTTATTTATTTTAGATCGTATTTGTAACACTGAATCACATTCTGAAATATACAATATTAGTACGAATGATAAAAATAATATTGAAATAGGATATTATAAAGATGTGCAAAATGTAGAAGATGATGCTATACAAGTTAACTTAAAGGATCTAAAAGATGAAAATGATATCGATACAGCTGACTTCAATGAACACCAATCAATTTATAAACCTCTTTATATGATTGATTATTGGCCATACAAGGAGTAAAGTGAGATATTTGAAATTGTTGTTAGAATGAATACTGTCAATACTTATTTACAAAGATTTAATTTTTTTTCCATTTTTTAAGCATTACAATGTGAATCTTTTAACACGATAATCATATTACTAATTTAAAAACTGTTAATATATTGAGAAATTGCTTTTGATATTTTATACTATAAAATACAATATGCTCAAGTTTTAAACATTTTAAGATGTATCGAAATAAATAATACTCGAAATAACTTTATTCTTTTCAATGACACTCACACTGAACTTTAAAGATGCAAAAATTCGGTTAAACTTGATGGAATTGAATTTTTGTACAACTCTTACTAAATATGAGGTAATAATTTCAGAAATGATATAAAAACAAACCGAATTTATATTATTTAACGTCAAATTATTTAAAACGTAATTGTCCAATAAAATTACTGTTACTAATATTAAATTCTAGTGATGGGAGATATCGAATATTTTATATTTGTCTACTATTTTGAATTCGTGTAATATTATTGAATATTTGGAACATTAATAGTTACCTAATGTAATTGAGTAGCTATAAAAACTATTCCATGTTTTTTTTAATATTTGATATTTAATGATAAAAATAAAATATTCAGTAGCATACAATCAAATGCAAATGTATTTAAAAAATTTTGTGTTTTGGAATTAAGAAAAAGAACTTTTTATACATTTTCCCATTTTAATCTCTTTTTCTTCTACTCCTAAAAACTCATCTAATTTATATTATTGAACATCCAATTTTTTAAGTAGTGTGAAATATCGAAAATAATTATCGAAATATTCGATATGTATCCACTATTTGAAATAGTAGATTGTTATTAAATATTAAAAAAATTGTTCATTACCTCAACTATTTGAGTAGGTATAAAAACTGGTCATTGTTATTTTTTAGCTTCGATGCGAAGCTGGGTAGGTATTCATTTTACTATGATGTGTTTTTTTTATTATTATTATTTATTTATTTTTTTGTTGTGTCTGTGAACGCTCAATCTCAGCTCTCGCTGGACCGATTTTGATGAACAATATGTCAAAAGATCACAAATCGTATCTAGTCGAAGACATTACCCTCAAAAATTGAAAAAAATGCCCTCATTCCCTGTAAACGGGGGAAATACCCCAAAAAATTACAAATTTAAAAATCGCTATTTTTCGATATTTTTTCAATTTTTTTTACTTAAAATTGCCATAACTTTTTTAAAAATGACCGAATCAATATAATTTTTTTTTTTATAGATACCTTAGATAATTACCTATCATTTTATATATTTTTGTGAATATTTGACTCTTTAACAGCCCACAGAAAGGGTTTAAAAATGGTAACTTTTTTACAAAAAATTAACTTTTTCAACTTAACTTTTGAAAATGTTCCGGAAGGTCTGACACTTTTATATATACCTTAAATTAAAGCTAATGTAATATACTTTAATTTGAAAAAAAAAAATTTGACCTCTGGACTTGTCTTCATGGTGAAAATGACTACCGTATGCAAAAATATGCTATTTTTGTGAAAAAATTCTTGATATTATATTTTACATTTTTTAACATTATGTTGCTATAACTTTTTAAAAAATGCATGAATCAACTTTATTCTTTAATGATAAATACTTTATATATACTTCTTTCATTCGACATACTTTTTTTTAAAATCGGACCATTTCCCTTTATACAGGGGGGGTGCAAACCTTTTAAAATGCGTATAGAAAGTAGAACTTTTTCAACTTAACTTTTGAAAATGTTCCGGAAAGACTGACACTTTTATATATATCTTAAATTAAAGCTTATGTAATATACTTTAATTTGAAAAAAAAAAATTTGACCTCTGGACTTGTCTTCGTGGTGAAAACGGACATCAAAGTTAAAGAAAAACGTACGATTTCCGTGAAAAAAATCTCGATTTTATATGTTATATTATTTAATTTATATTTTATATAACTTTTGGAAAAATGTATGGATCAATATTATTATTTTTTTATAATAAATATTTATATACCCCTTTCATCTGGCACGCTTTTTTTGTAAATCGGATCATACCCCTTTAACAAGGGGGGTCAAAACTTTAAACATGCGTATTGTTACTACGATATTTTCAATTTAATTTTTGAAAGTATTCCGGAAATACTGACACTTTTAAATATATCTTAAATTAAAGCTTATGTAATATACTTTAATGTGAAAAAAAAAAATTTGACCTCTGGATTTGTCTTCATGGTAAAAATGACTACCGTATTCAAAAATATGGTATTTTTGTGTTAAAATTCTGGGTTTTGTATTTTATTTTATTTTAAAATACCTGACAAGGGGAGTACAGATTTTCATAAATATTATATAAATTAAAATTGATATAGTATAGATAGTTANATATTATATATAATAAAAAATTAATAAAGCATAGAAAGTTAAACTTATTTCAATTTTTTTGCTTTTTGAAGTCGAGGAAAATAACTTTAAAATTTGAATTAGCTTAGTTAGAATAAATTTTTAACTGCTTTGATTTATATCTTCAATAAACATCAAGGATCTCATCACTGTAGTCGCCACACGCGAGAAGAAGTTTTTTATTCTTATTAAAATTATTTTACTATATTTGATGTTTTAGCTTCGAAGCAATGCTGAGAAGATATTTTTTTGTGACTATCATTTATTTTCTCTGCTCTAACTTGACCTACTTTTTTCAACGATACGTCAAATTACTACAATTCGTATCTAGTTGAAGATATTACTCTCAAAAATTGAAAAAAAAATTCTAATTTATCAATTAAACAGTTAGTTATTACATCGTCTCCATAAAGACAATTAAAATCATTANACTTAATTCATGTTCTCCATACAGACAATTACAATCATTAATTTCTAATGTTTTCAAAATATTTATTGATGAATCAAGTTTGATGTGATAATTTCACATACAAGGTTTCAAATACAAAATTAAATAATTTTACTTTGTAATTTAATAATTTTTTTACTCTATTTGTGTGTGCTACTACTAGACTATAATATTACAACATTTTTTGTAACATGTTGCTTTATAAATCATTTCTATAAAAAATGATTGTTAGTTTCTTCTGAATTAATAATGGATTTTTAAATTATAATCAAATTTTATTATACACTCAATTGAGTAAATCTTTTTAACATCTTTGTTTTGATTGGTTCATTTAGTTAAAGTATATCATTAAAATTAATTAAGTTCTGATTACTTCAATTGTATAATATTTTTATCCAAAAGTTACTAGGAAATGATTACTGTTATTTCTATTTAAGCTATATAGTACGATAAAAATGCAAAATTACATTGATCTTTTCAGATAAATTTATAATAAATAGTAATTATAAAATTTCCTGACTGCATATCAATCTTAAAAATAGCATTGTTTTAATTACTATAAAATTTTCTATTTAATGATGTCAATTTCAAACTTGTAATTGAGCTAAAAGTTATGGTAACATATTCAATTTTTTTTACTGTAAAAAATTTTTTTTTTCTGTTAATTATTTTTTTATATGTAATTAGTAATAATATAAAAATTAGAACTGATAGAAAAAGTGTTATTGCAGATTTGAAAACAACGCGAAAAGTTGATTTAGAAAAGTATATTTTTGCTTCTGATATAAGTTCCTTGTAGTCCAGTGCATTTATTTATAGTAACAAACAGTTTTCATTGAAAATTATTGTATCAAGCCCTTTAAATTTTTAAACACGTAAAAGTAAAGCAAAATATAACTTCTTTATTATTTTTATAATTTCTCATTTTAAATTACTATACTAAATTGAATATCAATTTCATACTAAATTTAATAATTATAATTAGTATTTATTCATATATTATATTTTAAAATCAAAGAACTACTAATCATGATATAATCAAAGAAATAAAAGTTGATGTTGCTTTTGGAATAATCTACCAATTTCTCTAAATAAAACACTATCTACAGATTTGCATCGAAGCGTTTCTTATGATAGTGATTTTAATCAATGTCAGATATCATCTATACTTGTCTCATCTATGCCTCGTCCACACTGTGCTGCCGTATTTATTCATTGAATATGACTACTAATAATGAAGATAATTATGCATTAAAATTATTAGAAGAATATATATATATATATAGTAGTTAGATATCAAGTAACAGATTGCACAAATGATTATTATAAAAATATAGGTTTTTGATAATGTCGTAAGTAATAATTATCTAATCAGTGATTATTAGATTATTATTAGATATTAGATAATTATTAGATATTTAAAAAATAACTATTAGTCTCGTTAGACTTATTATACAGAATTAAATTAGAGAATCCAACAATATAGAGACTTCTGATCTTCAGTAATTCAGATGGTGTAAAATGTTTCTTAAAACCGACACTAATTAACATGTTTTGATATTTCAATGTTTTAAGTTATAAGAATTTTATTAATTTTTAAATTTGAAGTTAAAATTTAGTTTTTTCAATTATTTATATAGAATATAACCTGCAATGTATTTATAAAAAAAATTGCTGAGCAATGACAAATAATTCTTCATTGGTCATATAATACAAAGTTGAACAAAATAATTAAACAATAAGATATTAAAATTAATTAGGTTTCATCCTAAAATATATTATTCTCATGTTAGAAAATTTGAAATATAATTAAATAGCCGTATTAACTTAAAAGAATACCAAAATTAAACAAAACGAATCAAGTTTATTTGTTTAAATTAATCAAATTATGTTTCATTGAAATTTATTTATAACATCTGTTGCTGTTTAAATATTTAATCATTCAAACCAAAATCATCAGAAAAAATTTTGATAACTTTTTGGAGGTTTTTCTTTAAACCTTTTTACTGAACATAAAATATTTTTAAGACGTATATGACCTAAAAAATTACCTTTATTAATATTATATATTATCAGTGGCATATTTAGAGAGGAGTGGGCACAGAGGCACGTGTCCACCTTATTAACTGAGGAATGTAAATGTTTTGTCAAGCAATATAATAATGTACAATATCATTAGAAAAAATTATATTTGGCTATCGATAATAACATGGGTTTATGAAATGTTATTCGATATAGTTGTCTTGATAAATGCAAAAGGCGAAAGAGTAGTAGAGTTCTACAGAGAAAATGGAATGGTTATAACAAACACCATATTTCAAAACCCCAAGAAAAGAATATATAGATGAAAAATGCCAGGCGATATTACCCGCTACCAAATAGATTATATACTAATGAAAAATCGCTTTTTGAACCAATTGAAATTCTGTAAAACATACCCAACTACTGATTATGACAGTGATCACAATCTAGTAATGGTGAAATGCAAAATCAGGTATAAAAACCTCAAAGACCAAAAATACATCAAGTCAAATATTGTGAGCAGTGGTTGTAGAACAATATAGACACCACATTTACCGCTAATACCAAAGAGGAAACGTAGATGATCCTTTGAATAAAATATGGAAGAACATAAAATCAGCTATCAAAAAAGCGGCGTATACTATGTTGATTAATATAACGATGGAAAGGGTGTATTTAATTACTTGGAAAAATTGGAGGAAATTACAACAAATCCAGTAGAAATGAGGCTACTAATTTTAAGATCAGAATTTGAGCTAGCGCTTTATGACTTGAAACAAAATAAAGCACCTAGAACTAATAATATAACTGCAGAATTATTGCAATGTGCTAGTACGAAGATAAAGGACGCTTTATACAAACTAATTCGGGATATATATATGAAAAAGGAGAAGTGCTGGATAATAACTGTAAAAGTATAATTATAACTATACCAAAGAAAAGTGGATCAAATTCTTGTGGAAAGTTTAGAACACTGAGTTTACTGACACGTGTATCAAAATTTCTAACAAAAATAATAAATCGAAGAATAGAAGGAATAGTGGAGCAGTTATTAAAAAATGACCAATATGGGTTTAGAAGACAAAAAGGTACACGAGAAGCAATTCTAGGACTGCGAGTGCTAATTTAAAAAAAAAGATCGATAGAAATAAAGTTATATACTTGACCTTCATGGACCCGGAAAAGGACTTCGATAAAATAAAGTTGAAACAAAATGCTGCTCACACTACAAGAAATAAATGTTGAATAACAAAACCTAAGAATCACCACAGCCTTTACAAGAATCAGACAGCTTGCATTAAAAAAGAAGAATCGCAACTATGGTATTAGATCTAGACGCTGGAAAATAGTTGGACATGCCCTGGACACCCAGATGATTCAAAAATCAACCTAACATAAATAAATTGCACGATGAAATACTTTTTACTTTTCATGTTAATGATAAACTTTAAAATAAGTTTATGTCATATAACACATTACTTAAAGTGCTCGCATTCTCGTTATTTTTTAAATTTTTTTAACCATAATGAAAGATTTTTGTTACAATTTGAAAAAAATAAAGAACAATTAACAATAGAAAATCTTATGAACTATGGCAAAGCACTTCAAACACATGGTAAAGTAATTATGATATTTTTGGAGGACTTGATATACAATAATTCTAAAAAGTTTCCTTATACATTAATCACGGTAAATATGTACTTAAATAATATTTCTGGCTCATTAAATATGATTGCTAAAATTGATGATGATGAAAAAAATGATGCTCAAAAATTATTAGAAGGATATAAGATTATACATTTTGCAGTTAAAGAACAACTAACCAGTTACATAAATGGGTATTGTTTTAAAGTACCGTTTCAGGAAAATAAGGTTATTTGCAATCCACCAATCAATGAAAATAAATATAATATTACTGATCTAATAAAAATAAACAACGATCTCATAGAAAAAATACTGACCCAATTTAAGTTAACATTAATACAGAATTCATACGAACGTTTTCATCCAAAAAATATTTTGTTTTACGATATAATGACCTTGCAGATTCTGACCGACAAGAACAATAGTATAAAAATAGATAATAGTCAACACATAGAATTAAATCTACTGCGATTCACACGACTTAACTTTAAATGCACTAATGGTACTCATTTAACTATACAAGATATATTTGAGTATATGAAATATGATTTTACTTCTAAGGATGTTTTAGCATACATAATTACGGTAATTGGGGCTACGTTTCGACCAATAGCCATTCTTCTTCGCAACTATTTAACCTTAATTCAAGTTGCATCCTTAGAATATTCAGATAGTGTAAAATTTTGGGTAAAAAAATCAATAATTAAAATGGGTCAACAAATAATGAAATATATAATAGATATTATTTCTCTATCCATGTACGATAATAAACGGCCATATATGCAAAACATAATTTTAAATGGATTTATTAATACTTTAAATAATTATATTGCAAGTAATAAATTATCTGAAATTGATATTAATCATAATAATATATTAAAAAGAGTACTTTTGAATTTCTTCATTAACAGTAAACTGTACTTTACAAGTGATATAGTTCTAACTAACAAAAAAATGACTGCAAATAATGCTGATGCCATAATAACTGAATTAGAAAAAATTATGGAAATAGTTGAAATATATATAAGCGATTTGAAAAAATGGAATGAATATTTTAATTTTATTGTAAAAAGTTTTAATATTCGATCTTATAATGTTTCAAATTTTAAAAATTTTATTGGTTTTAAAGTTTTAGGTAAGTGAAAATGTATTGTTATTTCAATACATTCTATTATTAATATACATTATATTCTGCTATGGATTTAAGCTATACTTTAAGATATGTTATGTAGTCATCGGGCTTATTATATATAGTTAAATAATGTAATCCAATAATATGACAACAAAAAAAAACCTAGCACAGTGCATAGTTGAGAATAGTATAGATGATACTGATAGTAATTAAAATCACTATCATTAGAAACTCTTCGATGTAAATCTTTAGATAGTGGTGAATTTTAAAAAATTGGTTGATTATTCAAAAGCAAAATACTAGTGCCACGGCAATATGTTTGAAACATTTACCGAACATTTTCAAACTAAAATTTTGAGGGTTAAGTCTTCTACAAGATACTATTTGTAATCTTTTGACGTATTATTGAGAAAATCGGTCAAATGAGATCTGAGAAAAAGTAGTAAAAGACACGAAAAAAAAAAAATAAATGAGTACATCGTGGTAAAAAAACCCAGCCTTTTCAGTTTCGCATCGAAGCTAAATAATATAGATGATATCTGACAGTGATTAAAATTACTATCATAAAAACACTTCAATCTAATCGTGTAGATAATTTAAATAGAAGTATAAAAAAACTAATTAAATAATGGTAATTATCTTTATTTAATTAGTTTTTGTATACTTATAATAATTTATACTTAAAATTAAAACAATGAATTTTGTAGATTTAGAATATCAATTTCACAATTCATTATATTGAAATTTATTATTTATTATATTTTTTTTAAGGAATCATATATTTTTATTTCTAAAAGTTTGTTACAATATTCTTCAACATTAATTTGTGAAAACAATGGATATGAAGTACACTATTTGTTCAACATAATTATAATATTACGTATTTAATATATTTATTACTTTCTATGGTTTAAATATAGTACATAAATATTTAATTAAACATTTCCAATTATATTTGATAGAATATTAACCGGAAAAATACAAATGTAATTTTATGTCTAAGTTTTCAACAATTAAAAAGGATAAAATTTTGTCCTAATTGTTTAAAATTATTTTAAATTGGACCATTTACAAATTAAATTTATTTAACTTTAAGGGGTTCAACTATATAATTTTTTTTTTTTGTTATCAATTAATCTTTAAAATTTGAAGATTATATTTAATATAATTATAAAGAAAAATTGAAGCAGAATAAAATTTAGAAATCACTAACATCTTTGTAATTTTTGCACATCTAAAATCGTCCTTTTATTTATTTTAGATCGTATTTGTAACACTGAATCACATTCTGAAATATACAATATTAGTACGAATGATAAAAATAATATTGAAACAGGGTATTATGAAGATGTGGAAAATGTAGAAAATAATATTACACGAATTAATTTAAAGGATCTAAAAGATTATAATGATGAAAGTGATATCAATATATCACTATCAATATATATATTAAATGAATCATTTAAACATCAATCAAATTATGAACCTCTTTATATGATTGATTATTGGCCATACAATGAGTAAGGTGAGATATTTCAAATTGTTATTATTATGAATATTGTACTTTGTCAATACTTATTTACAATGTTTTAATTTATTTCCATTTTAAGCATTACAAGGTGAACCTTTTAATACGATAATCATATTACTAATTTAAAAACTGTTATCATATTGAAAAATTGCTTTTTATATTTTATATTATAAAATACAATATGCTCAAGTTTTAAAATTTTAAGATGTATCGAAATAAATAATAATCGAAATAACTTTATTCTTTTCAATGACACTCACACTGAACTTTAAAGATGCAAAAATTCGGTTAAACTTGATTTATATTATTTAACGTCCAATTTTTTAAAACGTAATTGTCCAATAAAATTACTATTACTAATATTAAATTCTAGTGATGGGAGATATCAAATATTTTATATTTGTCTACTATTTTGAATTCGTGTAATATTATTGAATATTAGGAACATTAAGAGTTACCTAATGTAATTGAGTAGCTATAAAAACTATTCCATGTTTTTTTTAATATTTGATATTTAATGATAAAAATAAACTATTTGGTTGCATACAATCTAATGCAAATGTATTTAAAAATTTTGTGTTTTGGAATTCAGAAAAAGGACTTTTTAGACATTTTCCCATCTTAATCTCTTTTTCTTCTACTTATAAAAACATACCTAATTTATATTATTGAATATCCAATTTTTTAAGTAGTGTGAAATATCGAAAATAATTATCGAAATATTCGATATGTATCCACTATTTGAAATAGTAGATTGTTATTAAATATTAAAAAAATTGTTCATTACCTCATCTATTTGAGTAGGTATAAAAACTGTTCATTGTTGTTTTTTAGCTTCGATGCAAAGTTGAGAATGTATTAATTTTACTATGATGGGTTTTTTTTTTTTTTTTTTTTTT